TTAAAATTAATTATACATATATAATTATATATATATATATATATATATATATATATAATTAATTTTAATTGATTATATATATTATATATATTATATATTGATAATTTATTAATTCTTTTCTCAATAATGTTTAATATTTCATTTTTTAATATTTCTAAAAACTTTCGTTTTTCTTACTATCTAACAATATTTTTATTTCACATATAACACAACATTCAATTCAATATAATATATTACAAATTTATACCTTAATAAGTTTTGATTTTGCTTCCGTTAATAATTGTATAAATGATTGAGTATGAGGAGACTTTATGTGACTTATTATCGACGAAAATTGAGCGAATAATCTTCTCCAATATGCAAGTTCCGCAGATGGTCCTATAGTTTCGGTTTCCCTCCGTAATTGTTGACTCTCAACAATAGCCTAAAAGTAAACATTAAAAAAATATTGTGAAATTTTATTAAAAGATAAGATCGATAAAAATCACACACTCGTTCCATCAATTTTTTCCATATCTTAACATCAGCCTCTGCTGCTTCGATAACGTTTTGTTTATGAATGTTCTCTTTAATATTTTCAGGTAGCACTAAATACTTTTGATAAAGATCCCAATTAATTTGGAAGCATATAATATTTTTCAAATCTATTTTCGTCACTATAAGAAGAAAAAAAGGAGAGTAAGATTTTCTTACATTTAGAAGGAATATTGCAATAATTGCAATAATTAAAGAAATACAAGTTGTAAGTTTGTAAGTTACTCACTATTAAGAAATTCACAGAAATCTCTAAAATCGCCTATAAAATCGTCCTTTATTTTTTCGCCAGTTTCACTTCTCGACAATTCTCCCCATTGTGTATTAGCAGTTAACGTTCGTGCATGTAAACGTGAAATTAAATCAGATATACCTGCCAATGCACTGTATGATGTATAATCCACTTCAGCATACGCATAATACGTTTCCTATATATGTAGATGATAAAATAAAAAGCAACATGAAATTGAAACAAAATTCTAAAGAAAAAGAAAGGATATGTACATAAATTATTCTCGGAAACCAAATGTGTTTTACTAATGTAAAAGTGAATTAAATTTTACTTTACATAAATAGATATTTTTTTGCTATCAACCAAAAAATACGATATATATTCAATTTATAAAAACATTATCTTTTAACCGAAATACTTACGTCAAGTAATTGCTTGATTCCAAATTCCAAATTTGACTTTAATCGATAAATTATAACGCATTTGCCCGAAAATTCTTCGGTAGTACCATCTGTTACGCAGCAACGTATAATTTGCTGTATTTTGCTAAATTGCGGAGTCCATCGTCCAGATTCTGTATGATCGCACAAATTTCATATATCATAGTGTAATATAAAACAGCATAATTATAATGTCATATTAAATACAATTATCATCAATTTTATATGAAATATAAATTGTTTTGTACCAAATGTGGGGGGACTCATAGGTTGAAGGTAGACAATAATAGCTTGTTTTCCATCTTCGGCGAAGAAACTGCTAAATATGTTTACGTAGTCATCTTTATCGAGAATTCCTTCTTCCAGCACTTCAACATCTGTATTCAAAATATATGCTACTGTTTCTAAGACATGTCGATGTGTAACTTTCAATAATCCTTGCCTGGCATTACGAGTTTCTTTAAATTTTGCCTAAAATAATAAAAAGTTTATATATACTGAAAAACAATATTTTTTTAATCTCATAACATTTTAGCGCAAAGAATTTAAATATTGTTATTATAAATATGTACTGTAAATATGTTACTGTAATTCTTTTTTATATTTATTTTATTTTATAATTTTTCTTTATATTTATTTAATATTTATTTTATTTTATATTTATTTATTATTATTTTTTATTATTTAAAAAATTGTTTTTGATTATTTCACTTGATAACCTTTAACATGCATTTCTAAAATATTATATGTTTAGTTACATTAAATATTGTAATAACAGTTAGATAAAAATATGTGATATATGTTGAGACTAAAAAAATATTAAACTCGCAAAAGTATTTACGAGTCGCTCCTTTGTACTTTCCGTGGGCAAATCTTCCCGTGTACCAATTCTTCTTTTCACTAATTTAGCAATTCGTTGATCGACAGCTGGTTTCGTATAATCTCGCAATGCGGGATATGCGTTTGTCATTATTACAAGAAAAAGAAATTGTAAATATTGTGATTGATATTGGCTAAAAAAGCTTCGAGAAAGCTCAAAGAAAAGTATAACTATATATGTATAAAACACGATATTGACAATTCCTTAATTATTCATCTGAAATTATGCGTATAAAGCAGGATGAATAAACAAATGACTGTTACTTACAAGGAAAGGTACCCAACTGTCACTCACGGATTCTAATAAAACTTTGTACACTTATAAAATTATGCAAAATAATAGATACATATTTTTTTTATCTACGAAGAAGCGATTTTGAGGGCAGAAACAACCTCTTGTATACAAGATGGGCCATTTTTTTAAATGGAACCAGCTACTTTTTATTGCATATTCTTGTAGCTTATCTCGAGAGCTTTCCAAAACACTATAATAATAACAAAATTAACAGTGATTAAATCAAGTGTATCGTATAAACATGCGCCCGACACAATCAGCTGATTGCCAATTAGACATTCGAAAAACGATTTGTACATATCAAACGCAGTATTTGACTCGTCAGATCTCATCCTATCTAAAATAGATAATAAATAAATAAAATATCTCACATAAAAGATTAGATTAGAGATTTCGCTCGGAGATAGAAAGAGCTTTCAACAAACTATAGAAAAAAAAGTTTCAAAAAAAGTTTCAAAAGATAGTGATTTGACTGCTTAAATATTAAAATAAACATTAGTTTAAAAATTGAAATAAAAAAATACAAAATATGTTTCAATGTGAGTAAATTAATGATTTATAACAATTAAAGATGTTTGTTTTAACATATGATTAAACATAGTTAAGTTTTTTTTGCTCACGAATAAATTTGACAATTATTTTAAATTTAAAACGCTATGCAAATTCTATTGATAACATATCGAGTCTGAATTATATGTACAAACTAAGGAAACAATCATACATCGTGACTTTATTATTTGTTTACATGGCATTGGCTATAATGTGCTATCGAATTCGTTAGTCTTTAGTGAACCTTTGGAGTGGTAAGATTGTGATTTCGTATATATGTGTGGCATTAACAACTTGTAATAATATTGTGCTAATTGCAATTAATTTCAATAAATAACTATATCTCAACACTTGTTACAATTTCAATAAGGTAAGTAACCACAAAAAAAGCATTTATATACTTACGAAAATACAAAATGTACGTAGAAAGTATTATTTAAATTAGTATAAGAAACAAGTTTGACAAGCACAATTTTACTTTTTACAAGTTATCTTTCTCAAAATTAGTATGAGAAACAAGCTTGACAAGTAGAATTTTATTTTTTACAAGTTGTCTTTTTCACAATTATTAAGAGATGTTTAATAAAATGTAGATAACTTCAAGAATGTAACATTTTGAACTAATTTTGAATTTAATTAATTTTAAATCTAATATTCAATGAAAAAAAAACTTTATAAATTATATATACACACACACACACACACACAGAGGGTGTCCCATTTTAACTTGGACAGTAAAATATCTCAAAAATTAAGCCCAGCAAACAAAAATGTTTCAGACAAAAGTTGTATGGTTTCGAGGGGGACATAAGATGGTACCATTAATTTGACCTTGAAGAGTCACCTTCAATTTCTTAAATGGAGAGCTTTCCAAAACACTATAATAAAATATTTTTTCATTGAATATTTTTCGAGTTATGAGGGTTGAAATCATTTCTTAATTTTACATAAACCATAAAATATTCATTTTTCGATTATCTTACCTTAATGTTTTTATGTACAAAATAATGAGAGAAATCAATTGGTGTAAAGAAAACATATAGTTATTTTTAAGAAAAAATATGTAATTGTTAATTATAAATTATATATTTTTTCTTAAAAATAACTATGTGTTTTCTTTATAACTTACAGCATATATCGATTGTGACAAAGCGAGGTGCACCTTGTCTACCGGCGGGGTGGTACGGGAGGGGGACCCCCGTACCAAAGGCCCCCTTGCACCCCCCGCGTGTGTGTGTGTGTGTGTGTGTGTATGTGTGTAATTATTAACAAAAAAATTTTATTAACAACTTGTTAATAAATAACGAGCAACAACTAAAATATTTTGAATTTTACTTAGGACAGTGACCTTGACAATATCTTGTCAAGATCAAGACGATTAGACCCTGGTGTCTTTTAACAAACTATGTAAAACAAAACAATTATTTTTATCCTTTTTCTTAGGAAAGTATTTGAGTCCGAGCCTTATATATATATATATCGGGAAGATCTGCCCTACAACATATTTAAAAATAAACCAAATCGGAGAGGGACCCCTTTTATGCATAATTACCGAAAAAATATTTTACATTACAAACTTTTTATTTAATTTTTTAATTTTTTATAAATTTTTTATTTTTATAAGACATAGATTTTGAAATGACGTGAATTATGTACGAAGATTAAATTCTCTTACTATAATTATCAATTAGAGATTATAACGAAACATTTCTATTGAGAGAATCACACTTAATACTTCCTAATAATTACTGGAATATAGTTCGTAAAATATTGTTAGTTATTTAAAATATTACATGTATCTTACGTGCCGTTTGCTTTGTAATATAATTTAAAATTCATGTATGATTTGACATGTAATGATTTGACGTTAGCTGTTTATTTGTCAGTATATATGTGTATATTTGTGTAAGAGCACAACTTGTACGAACAAGAAGCATAATATTGTGAGAGTTAATGCGATTAAGTTAAAAATTTGTAAAATTATACACATAAAAGAAAATGGAGAGCTCTAATTTTATTGTAATTTATGTTTTTCTTATTAAAAAAAAGTATTTTTTTCTACAGATTTCTGGAACGAGAAAATCGATATGATATTCCTCAAGTTGTTATTTAATACCATATTATTATATAATATATTAATATGCATGAGTACAACAGCATTTTTTCTCAAGGAGAATTCAAAGAATGATACGGATTTCACAAATACATATCGTTTACCGAAACATATAATACCATATCATTATAACATTCAGATGTTATGGCCAGATGACCAGCCAGAAATAACAAATTTCCTTGGGGAATGCCGTGTTTATATCAAAATTAATCATCCAATACGCCGCATAAGTTTGCACGCCCAAAAACCGCAAATAAATATAACTTCTGCATTTCTAAAAAAAAATGCAAATATGATTGAAAAGGAAATACAATATATTCCACAGAATGAAACGAAGTATAACGATAAAAGTCACATTCTCAACTTTTATTTTGCCGAAGAAATACCAAATGGAGATTATACTTTCGTTATGATGTTCATCAGTTTTTTAAATAATGATAATGAAAGTATCTTTAAGCTTTCTTCTCTAAACAGCACAGGAAGTGACATGTAAGTAAATAGCGAATATAATAAAAATGTTGAAAAAACATATATGTCTTATTATCATATAAAATTATTATTGAATATTATTTTATTTCATATTAAAGCTTTCTCCTAATTTTACTGCGTACATTTTTGATAATTTTTTGGATAATATACTTTCTTTTTGCAAGATTTAGACGTTATAGTTTGAAATGTATATATTTGTGTGTGAGAGAGAAAATTGTGAATATTAATATTTTAAAAATTCCTGAGAATGTTACTCAATGTTAATTAAGGTAGAGCTACTATTATATTGTAGAGCTACTATTACTTGAGTATGTTATAATTGAGAGTTACATAAATATGTGTGGTATGTTAATATAATTCACTATGATATTATTATTATTATTTTTATTATTACAATATAAAAAAATTGTAGTAATAAAAACAATAATAATAATAATAATAATAATAATAATAATAATAATAATAATAATAATGATAATAATAATAATAATATTATAACAAAATGTTAAAATATAATTCTTAAAAAGCAATTTTTAATTTTATAATAAAGCAATGTAAAAAGTATTTGTAACTTTATCGAATATATACGTATGAAACCTATAATAAAAATTAAATAATATTTAATACATAAAACAAGTCTAAACATTTTCTATAATATTGCATTATTCACGAAACTCATCTATATATTCTCCACTTTGTAATTAAATTTTAATGCAACGATAAAATTTTGTCCATTATACGAGATTTTATATTAAAATATTGTAGATGGCTGTATGCAACGCATTTCCAGACAATTGGCGCTCGACAAATATTTCCATGTTGGGACGAACCAGAACTCAAAGCAACCTTTAACATTTCAATAAGATATCGTAAAGAATACATTATTTTATGGAATATGAATTATGAAACAGAAACTGATTTTAATAATATCACAATGCAATGGATGCACATCAATATCCCTTTCAAAATCTCTACTTATCATGTGGCATTCTGTCTACTGAAAGATAAATGGTTTACATTTACTATTTCCTTGCAATACAACTTGGATGGTGCATCAATAAATTCATCTAAGAGAATCGTATGGAGTAGAGATTCTTCTCAAATATCTTTCGCGCAAAATGTTATTGGACAAATTTCAAGGTCTTTCAAAAATGATTTTGAAAACTGGGAAAAAATTTCGATAACCCAGCATGTCTTCATGCCAGGTCTTCGACATAATGCTATAGAAAAATTAGGTCTCGTTTTGTACAGGTAATAAAGATGAATAGGTGATTAGCTGATCACTATACATGATAGTACGCATAGACACATAGACACATATGCGAACATACACACACACACACACACACACACACTCTCTCTCTCTCTCTCTCTCTCTCTCTCTTAGTTATTATTATTATCTATTAATCTGAAGCGCTCCCACTTCTGATGATGAATAGCGCCGTTCTTATCTGCGTCTTATTATCAGCCAATAATAAGTTGTCTATTCAAAAACAAAATTTTGCAAAACGAAAAGTTGTCTTCAAATTAAGTCAGGAATATGTCATTTTAAGAACAATAAATTATTTTATTTATCCGGATATGTGTGTGTGTGTGCGCGTGCGTGTATATATAACATATTTTATTTAAAAATATCAAATTTCTCATCTATATCATATTCGAAACAAAATCTATTTGACAATAAATTTTTGAGCATATATCTCATCATTAGTTTCACTGCATATATTTAATGTAACATGTCTAATATAATTGGAATAAAAATTTATTATACTACATATTTGAAATACACATATTTTACGTAATTTCATTACTAATAAATAATTTTTTAGAGAAACAGATGTCATCTATGATGAAGAACTAGATTCCCTTGCGCACAAAATTGAAGTGGCATGTCTAATAGCACGCCAAGTGGCATATCAATGGTTTGGTATTACGGTCAGTCCTTCCTGGTGGTCATACCATTGGTTGAACCAGGGTATTGCTACGTTGCTTGGAATAAATGCTCTTCAAAAGGTTCTTTTTTATATATATGTTTATGTAATATTATTTCGCTTATGTGGAATTAAACATAAAATATTTGTTCACATAATGAAAAAAATCGTACTTAACATCTTCTTAGTATGTGAATAACATCGATCACCTAAATACTTTATATTTTTACAACATTTAAAACATAAATAAAAATAATTTAATTAATATAATACATGATTTATATCAGATATAGGAAATTTGCATCAAAATTCTTTTTAAATAATTTCAATGACATCCAATTTAATAGATAAATTACACATATTTTAAAGCCATTTTTGCTGGTTCTTTCTCTTTTTTTATTTAAATATAGAAACGCTTTACTTACACTAATAGCATTGTAAAATAGAGATATTCTTAATGAAAATAATAGTATATATATATAATAGTAGTAATATACACGAAATAAAAAAATATACGAGCAACGTATTGCTCTGATTAAAAATTGTTTGATCTGACATTAAACTTTTTGTTATTAGAATTTTGCGGAATTTCGTACGTCGGATCTATTTGTAGTGCAAACACAACAAGAATCTCTCCGTGTAGATCGTTTTTCTACCATTATAACGCCTCTTACAGCAAAAAACAACAAAAAACCTTTCGAAATTAATTCACTTTTTTCTTTTTCCTATTATACTAAAGGTAAGATTGAATAAATAATAAACGATTGTCAACAAAATCCTGAGTATAAATGTTATGAACAATAAGAAAGTTAATTCTAATTTACTCTTCCTTTTATATACATACTAATTTCGTTACAATAATGAAATATAAAACTATAAATGAAATGCTGTAAAATTATTTCTTATACAAACAGAAAGTGTAAAATTATAGGAAAACAGGTATATAGTACAAAACTGTACTATTTTACACGAAAAAACTAGATAGAATAGACAAATTTGTGTGGATTCTAAAATAAATTTAATATAAACATGTATATCTATATGCATTTTTTAACGTGTTTTTTTTCGTTGTAGCACCTTCTATATTGCGCATGTTGCGATATGTCCTCACTGATAAAATATTTAAAGAAGGCATTGAGAAATTCTATAAAGAGCAGTAAGTAATGCACAATAATTATATATTATAGAAATAAAAATAAATACGAATAGAAAAGACCTTAGTAATAAAATATAACAAAATGTAGTTGTGGATTAAAACATAAAATATACACACACACACAGAATGGAAAAGATGTAAACTGCAAAAATTCAATTATCTAAATAGCACTACCTTTTATTTAATTTTATATTATCTTCAGGTCAAATTTGAAAATTGCTCTTTCCAATATCTAAAAATAAAATTTAACAATTTCCATTAATGAAACAAGCCATCAATCGGTTTTAGACATTACAAAATGGGATTTATAAAATTGTTTCCAATTTTGCTTTTTATATTACATTTATAATTATATTATTAAATAATCAGGCTGCTATATTTACGATAATTGCGTTTCCGATTTCTTTGATTTCTATTTTCTGCATTTTTTGTGTTTTAAAAATAATTCTTTTGCAATTAAAAAATTCTTTTGCTATTTAATTACTTAAAAATAATATCAAACTTCTTTCATAATTTCAATGATTTCAACTATACTATATATATTCTAATATGATAAATATATAATCAATTTTAAATTATTATAAAATAAATTATAAATTAACATGTTTCGAATTCCATATATTATTAGTTACTCACGCTGGCTTTTCGCTTATGTTTATTACTTTAGCCTATTTTATAAACTGGACAATGTCGCTCAATGATAAAATTGAATAAAAACTTATATAAAAGTAACATAATATAGAACGTATTAATATACTTATGCAATTTATATAATGAATCAGTATTTTTTCTAAAGTAAAAAAATTTGTGTTTATTTATACAGTCATCAATATAAAATGTTAAATTTAGTATGTTTAGATCTGCAACATTCGATGATTTCTGCAACGATATGCAGATTGTTTATGAAGAAAGAAAGCAGTCCCATATGGAATCTTTTATTATAAAAGATATGATGACAGCTTGGATAAGCTACATACATTATCCTTCACTGAATGTTGAAACTGATAAAGACTGTAAGACTGATAAAAACACTCCTCCTTTCTTGAAAATACAGTTAGAAAATCACTATATACAGCTGTCACATGAATGGTGGATACCTATAACAATAACTAAACAGACAGAACTCAATTTTACAATATCTGCGAATCAACATAATATAGAGTGGATGAAAGTCTCATTTTCAAATTATAAACCATATTTCCTTAATTTTTCTGTCAAAGAAAATGAGTGGTACATAATTAACATACAACAAATGGGTAAATATTAATTGATAATTTTATAACAATTAAATATTTATTACAAATAATTAGTCGTTTACTCTATTTTTATATTTAAATATACGTATTTGAGTCTATTATTTCAATTGCTGTATCTATTACTTACAAATCCATGTTTTCTTAAATATTAAGTAAACATAATTATGCACAAAATCAATCACAAATCATAACAAAATTATTATTATATTATATTATTGGAATATATATACTTCTCGTTTAAATTAAAATATTAAATATTTTAAGTTTTTTTCATTACATAAAATTCTTGTAGATAATGTGCCATTATAATTTTACAAAATTGTATTATATTGTATATTGAGGTATTTTAATATATACGGGGTATCTTACAACTTCAGTACAATACTTTAACCCTTTGACGGCTATGAACGCATATATGCATCCAGCAAAACCAGAGTTGGGAAGTAACGCGTTACTTGTAACGACGTTACCGTTATAGTTACTTTTTTAGTAACGAACTGGTAACGACGTTACATTTTTTTTCTGTAACTGTAACGATAACGTAGTTACATTTTTTTACTAACGATAACGAATTTAACAATTACTTTTACCGTTATTTTTTATATTTTGAAAATACCGATGACATCGTATTTTTGTCATATTCAATTTTTAGTCATCGACATTCATATAAAATTCGATAATACTTCGGATGAAATTTATTGCTCTGAGAGGTGTCTGTAAAGCTGGCACGACAATCTACAAATTAAAAAAAAATATTAAGAGTTCTGATAGCACTTTTCATAGTTATATTATTTAATATAAATTATATTATATTTATATTAAATCTTTTACATATTTTTTATATAAAAATATACTATATATAACTACATAAATAATTACTGATTATAGTGTAAATAATATTATATATTATAGTAAATAACATAAGAAAAGGACAATATAAAAATTTGGAAATATTTTAATAAATTTAACGAAGAAAAGTGTTATATTAATAAAGAAAATTTTGAATGAAGAAAATATTTAATGAAGAAAAATGTTATATTAATAAATGAAAACTTTTTTTATGCACAATAGGATATTATCGTGTTAATTATAAACCCAAGAATTGGAAAAATATTGGAGATATTGAATTTATAGAATATCCGAATATACATGTTCTTAATCGTGCTCAAATTATCGATGATGCATATCATTTCGCGATGGTAGATGAACTCAACTTTTCTATATTCTTGGAACTCACGGAATATCTATCACGAGAGACAGATTATGTCGCATGGTATCCTATGTTTAAGATTCTCGAAGATATGTCAAGAATCTTTCCATTTCCAGATAAAATATTTATTTTCAAGGTAGACTATAGATATGTATTATAGATATATATGATGTTATGTATAACGATTTAAAAAGATTGAGAAATTTATAATAATATTTTATCCACTTATTAAAGTTTTATTAAAGTATCATATTAATTTACAATTTTTTTATAAATAATTCGTAAAACTTATAGTACTCTATTTGTACTATTTATAGTATTGCATGTATATAGTATTATATTTATATTACTTTCAGAATAAAATCTTGAACAGTTTGAATAGGCTTCTACAAAACATCGATTATGATAAAAAACCTAACGAGAAATTTGACGATTTAAGCGATTGTTTGAGGCAGGAAGCCAGTAAATGGGCATGTATTCTCGGTGCGCCAAATTGCATGAAAACAGCCGAAACTAAATTGCATCAACATCTCATAAATCCTGAAATAAACAAGTAAGTTTTTCTTACAATTTTAATCTTTATAATTATTCCATTTTTACTTTCATGTGATATAGTAATGAATAACAAGATTTTTTTTAAGACTATAAACTAAATAAATTTAACTAAACAATTAGGCAATATCGAGCCAACGCAGATGTAAGACGTGAAGCGATAAAAAACTACTTCCATTATCCACACTTTATTGATGATCAATCATACGTTTCGGACTCCTTTCGAACCTTCTTCAGTGAAATAAAGTCAAACAGTTCGACATTACGCGACCATCTCAACCGCATGTCAGATCTATGAATCTCCTAACGGTACAAGACGCAAAGGAAGATACATCGGACACAAAAAAACGCGACAAAGACGGGCACGAACATCTCGCTATGTCCAACGACTCTTAACCGACAATTAACGGAACGAGAATGTGACATTCTCGAGTCATTGGACATAGTGAGATGTTTGTGTCCGTCTCCGTCGCGTTTTTTTGTGTCCGATGCATCTTTCCTTGCGTCTTGTACCGTTTGATTGATTATCAATAAAGTAGAAGTAGTTTTTTATTGCTTTACGCCTTACATCTGCGTTGGCTCGATATTGCTTAATTATTTAGTTAAATTTATATATTTTATAACTGAGCCGTCAAGTTAGTTAATTTATTTTACTAAATTCCTATTAAATTAAATTCCTCTAGCAGATTTTTGACTTTCTTCTATATCATAGACTTTTGCCGTGGTGGAAACATTGGACATTCTGTAATGGTTTAATGATAGCGAACGATAGTGTTTGGTACAAAGTATGGATAATACATCAAAATAATCCTACTTCAATAACTTCAAAATTCCTTGCTTGTTCCGATAATTCTGCTATTATTATCAAATATATAGAAATGTTATTCATTGATTTTATTACAAAAATGAGGGATAATTTTTTAAATGATATTCTTTATATTATTGTGAAACATGCAAACAATAATAGAACGCTTAATAATATCTTAAAGAATTTAGAGAAGATACCCAGGTAATATATGTGATATTTTTAATATTTTTCTTTTATACACACTTTTATAAATTTTAGTCATAATAATGTATTGCATAAAATTTATCGGTAAATATTTATTTTAGGTTATACAGCTTTAAAAATTTTTATTTTCACATATGTTGTAGAGAATACATTCCTAAGTAATATACCGTTTTAATTTTGCGGTGGTCTCTTTTCGTTTTTGAGATATGCACCATATGAACTATGTGAAGCGAAATATGTCACATATATCAAGGTATCTCCTATACTTCAGATACAGATTGGGTTATATTTCCCGGAAGTGGAGCCCCACCGGGGGTGCGGAACCCACGGTGTTCACGCATGTATTTTTACAAGACGGAACAAAGATTACAAATACATATATTCTTCTTTAAACATATTTCTTCTTAAACTTTTTTTGTTAATAACTATTTATTAAATAATAAACGGCTTAAACTTTCTAAAAGTTATTCAGAAAGATGATCTCGGTAAATCTATATAGAAAAATATAAACATGTTTAAAATATAATGAAAAGAGACAAGTAAGTATAAAATTTCAAAATCGCATATTACAGGAACAAAGAGAAACCGCCGCAAAATTCAAACAATGTATTACTTAGAAATGTATTGTTTACAACATATATGAAAACAAAAATTTTTCGAGCTGTGTAATCTAAAGTAAACATTTACAATTTGTCATATATTAATTACAAATTTATTATTTTTAATTTATAGAGAACATATTATTGGAATATTAATTCATATTATTAATCATGTGTATTCTGAAAAACAACTTAATCAGGTAAATTTTGTAAAATTAAATATTATATTATAACTTATAATATTATATAATATACATTAACTTACTATTACTGATTTACAAATTAATTGTCAAACTTATCTATAAGTATTGCAAATATCTTAATTAAACAACAATTAACTTGTATTAATTATATTGAAAATACAAAATTACATTATACCTGATTTTCATAACAAAAGATTAAATCATAAATCATTGACAACAACACATTTATTTTAGACTCAAATTTATTTCAGATAAAAGAGTTTTTGACTATTGGACATATTTCGGAGCAACAACTATTATTTGATAAAATGTTAAAGGTAAATTTTAGAACGCGTAAATATCTTTAATTATTTAACATTCTTATTATTAACATTTCTTATTATTAATCTTTTTTATTTTTATTATTCTATTATATGAAGGGACGCATGTATATATATATATATATATATATATATATATATATATATATATATAAACACAAAGTTCTTTAGTTTTCTCAAAAGTGCTTATTTATTTCACGCGTCTCATCGGCGTCTCATCGTCGCATCGGCGAGCGGCCGATTTCCTTATCGCCTTCGATAAATATCGAAGTCTTCGCCCCGGGCGTAACAATATATATATATATATATATATATATATATATATATACATATTTTATTATATATATTTATTCAATATATATATTAAAGAAAGTATATATATATATATATATACATATAAACTATAAATATATATAAATATATGCATATATATATATATATATATATGCATATATATATTTCTTCTACAACCATTCAATAAACAATACTGCATTAGAGATTTTCATTTTAAGACAAGAATGTATTATTTATTAATCAAAATATTATTATTTTAGATTAGTTGCGTGTCAGAAATTGGCGAATTAGTTTGGTTAATCAATGACAAGCTAGAAATACGCAAATTTGAAATTTTAAGACACTTGAGGAAGTTTAAGAGAATTATTACAGAATATAAGATAAGAATATAAGAATATAAGAATATAGAGAAAATTATATAAGAATATAGGGAATGAATTTTTATATTATTATTAATTTTTTAATATTATTTAGTATATTATTAGTTGGGTGAAATTTGTAAATATCAAATTTTATTTATTCTTTACATGTCTTTAATATCTTTAATATTACAGTTTATTACTTTCACGAATACATCTTATCATATACATATTGTATATGTTATGCTATATTATTAAAGATTATGTAATGTTAAATGTATAAATTTGATATTATTAAAATTTTATACATATATGATATTAAATAATTTTATACATTACAAAATATTAATAAAGTTAATTAAATGTTTTAATCTTTTAATTTTATTTATAATTTAATATATATTACAATTATTTATAACATAAGCTACCATATTTTTGCTATTCGAAAATTTCATTTTATAAATATAAAATTCTATTTAATGTAATAATAACGAGTTGTATTTTTTGACTTTCCAATATAACATTTAAAAATAAAATTTAAGTAGACATATATGTGTGCATATGCATATGATTAACTGTACGTAAGAATGTAAATGTAATATCCATTGGTATATCAATGTAGTTTTATTTTATATTTATTTTATATTTATCCGGTATTTCTATGATTGCTAATCACTACAAATCAATGTTCTTACGAGTTTGTACAAGTCTTTTCACCTTAATATTGCCTTTATGTCAATCAAGTACATGTATCTCATATGTCAGATTTGTTTAAAAACGTTTAAAAATAAAAGGTAATTTGAATTACAAGCAAATGAATTTAGTTTTACAAAGTTAATTAAAACAAAAGAAAACCTTTAATTATATTATTTCCTACTGTATTTATTTTTATACTTGTAATTATATAATTATTTGAAAGAAAAAATATATTGCAAAACATAGGAAAAGGAATAGTATAATTTTTAATATTATACAATTATTTGTATGAAACATTTATAAATTTGAGAAATATTATTTATAAAATTCAAAAGTGATATTTGATACTGCTTGGACTGGAACTTTATTTGTCGATTTGTAATAAGATCTTTCTATTATACATAATAATATTATACATAATAATAATTATATATAAAGTTGTTTTAATGCAGAAGTGAATTCAAACTTTATATTTCATACATAAATTGCATTGCTATGAACAAAAAAATATGATATAAATTCAGTTTACGCAAACGTTAATTTTTAATCGAGGTACTTACGTAAAATAATTGTTGAATCCCAAATTCAAGATTTAATTTTAATAAATCGATATGGGGCATTTGCCCTAAAACTTTTCGGTAGTACCATCTGTTACGCAACAATTTATTGTATAATTTGTTGTACTTTATTAAATTACGAAGTCGATCACCCAGATTCCTTACGATCCCGCAAGTTTCATATACATCACGCTAAAATATACAACAGCATAATTATTGTTGTCAATGTCATATTAAATACAATTATCACCATCAATATCATATTAAATAAAATGATTATTTTATATCAAATGTGGGGCGACTCACTGTTTGAAGATAATTAGTAATAGCTTGTTTTCCATTCTCCGCAATGAAATTGCTAAATATCTTTACGTAATCATTCTTGTATTCCTTCTTTTAACATTTCAACATCTGTATTTATAGGATATGTCCTGTATTTATAGGATATGTTTCCAAACCACGTCGATGTGTAATTTTTAATAATAATAAATATAAACATAAATTTTTCTTTATATTTATTTTATATTTATTTATTTTTAAAATTATTATTTTAATTATTTCGTTATTATAGGTCTTCGATTTCTATACTAATTTTATAAATAATTCAATAAATGAGCAAATATATCATAATCAGCGAAAATCTAAATACTTTTCTACAAAGAGAGAATTAAAATATATAATTCTTTGATTGTTCATACTCTTGAGAAAAATTACGTTAAATTTAAAAACACTATGTATCGATTTGATTACATATCGAGTTTTTTGATTATGTTTAGGACTAAGGGAACAATTGTACATGACCTTATTATCTGATTATATTAGATACAATGTGAAAGTTTTCAAGTTAGTCTTCGGTGAGATCTTCAGAAGTGGTAAGATCGCGATTACGCATATATATGTAAAAGTAAGTAAACTTGAGGATAACATGCTGATTACAATTTATTTCAACAAAATTAACATCTTAATCCGCCACAATTTTAATTACAATAAGGTAAGTTACTGCAAAAAACAATTTACACATTTATGAAAATATAAAATATACACAAATATAGTAGAAAATACAATTTAAATTAATATAAGAAACATGTTTAATGAGCAAAAGTGTAACAATTTGAATTAATTATAAATTTAAATAATTTTAAATCTAAAATTCGAACTAAAAAGACTTTTTTGGGGAATTAAAATATATATGTTTTATATATATGTTTATTATATATGTTTATTATATATGTTTATATATATGTTTATTAAAATATATATGTTTTATATATGTTTATTATATATGTTTTATATGTTTTTATATATGTATATAAAGAGAAAAAAAGGGAAGGATATATTTCATAATATTGGTAATATTTAGTGATATTTATAGCTTTTATAAATTACAAAATCACAAATAAAATAGATTACATTTCGATATACATTTCAATATACATTTTGATAATTGTGCTAAATATATCTATAAAATATTATACCTTATAAAATATAATGCTTGGTAAATACTCATTTCTTTGTTAATAAAAATGTATCACGTTAATACATAAACAAAATAAGCGCTAGATTCTAGTTTGCACTTGATTTTTTTCTGAATTTGATAGTTATAAGGCGAAATTAAAAGAAAATGGAAATATATTGTTTATATATATATATATATATATATATATATATATATATATATGACTAATAATAGCAATTGAAAAAACATATAGCACAAGATAAATAAATAATTTCGGTTACATATAAGTCAAATGGAAGAATGTTAAGTTTAAATTAAACGACTTTTTCAAAATGTCAACAATACATTGTATACAACATATAGGCAAAACTTTATAAGTACATGATTCTTTCTTTCGAAACTAAAATATTTTATTAAATATTGAATACTAAATACACACATTTTTCTTTTATATTTATTTGCAATTTTCTCATGTTTAGGGAGACTTGAAAATACTTCAAAAAATTTAATAATAGAATTGGGCAAATATATATTTGTGGCTAAAACAGCTAATAAACCAATGAAATATTTCACTTAAAAAATTAATAAAAGAGTTCTCGTCAAAACTAGATTAAAAAATGCGAAAGAATAGTAATTTGACTGCTTAAATATTAAAATAGATATCAGATAACAAATTGAAGTAGAAAATACAAAAAATGTTTCAATTCAAATAAATTGATGACCTATATTAGTTTAAGATCTTTGTTTTAATACATGATTAAACATAATAAAATCGTTTTTAAAATCATGAATAAGTTTGATAAGTATTATTTATTTAGAAACTTTATAATGTAAAAGGGAAAGAAATATTTTGAAATACAAATTTTTTATTAATAAGAAAGAGATTTTGAAATAAAGAATTAGGTACAAAAATTAAATTCTCTAACTTTTAATTATCATTAAAGATTATATTAGAGATTATAATGAGACATTTAAATGTAAATACATATAAAAAAAGCATAATATTGTGAATGTTGAAATGATTAAATTTAAATTAATAAAATTATACACATAAGATATAAAGAACTTTGATTTTAATGTAATATACTTTTCTTATTAAAGAAGAAAAATTATTTTTTTCTACAGATTTCTGAAATAAGAGAATCGACATGATTTTCCTTAAATTGTTTCTTAACATATTATTATATACGTTAATATTCATCGGTGCGACAGCATCTTTTTCTGAGGAGAATTCAGAAACTGACTTGAGTTTGACAAATGCATATCGTTTATCAAATAATATAATACCGTATCATTATAATATTGAGATATTATGGCCAGATTATCAGCCAGAAATAACAAATTTCATTGGCAAATGTAAGGTTTACGTCAAAATTAATCGCGCAACGTACCGCATAAGTTTGCACGCCCAAAAACCACAAATAAATATAACTTATGCAATTTTGAAAAAAGATATAAATTTAAGTAAAGAGGAAATATCCTATATCCCAAAGAATCAGATGACATATGACAATGAAAGTCATATTCTCGACTTTTATTTTACCGAAGATATACCAAGTGGAAATTACTATTTTATTATGGAGTATACTGGTTTATTAAATGATAATGAAAACATCTTTAAAAATTCTTATGTAAACAACGCAGGAAATAAAATGTAAGTAATAAATATAATAAAAATGTTAAAAACATATATGTTTTAGCATTATATAAATATTATTTTTTTATTTTAGATTAAAATCTTCTTCGAATTTTATTGCTTATTGTTTGTTTATTGTTACATAGTACGTTACATTAATATTACGTATACTTTCTTTTTCCAAGATTTAAATATTGTATTTTGAGATATATATGTTTGCATGTGACAGAGAAAAAAAATTATGACGATATTAAATAATTTTAATTTTAAATATTTTAGAATGCTACTTATATTCAATTCATTATTAAACTACATATTTTAGACTTATTGGAACATGTTGTAATATAATTGAGTATACTACTAATTATATTGCATAAATATATGTGTGTGTGTGTGTGTGTGTGTATGTGTGTGTGTATGTGTGTGGCATAATATAAAAGTATTATAAAAATAATAAAAATAAAGTATATGTTTACTTTACGTCACACAGTTCGAAAAATTTTTATTTTCAGATATGTTGTAGAGGACACGGTGTATTACTTAGGAATGTATCCTCTACAACATATGTGAAAATAAAAATTTTTCGAGCTGTGTGACGTAAAGTAAACATTTATCAAAAATAATATTAATTTCATAATAAATTATGTTGAAATATTATTCTTAAAAAAAAACCTTTAATTTTATAATAAAGCAATGTAATATACAAGTAATTTTATCGAATAAAGATATGAATATTATAACAAATAAACTAATGTACTAAAATAGTATTTAACCAATAAAAGACATCTAAACATTTTCCATAGTATTGCATTATTCACAAGATTCAATTATACTCTTTACTTTATATTAACTTTTAATGCAATGATTAAATTTTTTCTGCATACAGGATGTTTTACAGGATATTTCAACAGGATTTTTAACTCTTTCATTAACTCTTACTGCTCAAATATCTCGAAAACTAGGCCGGTAAACAAAAATATTTCAAATAAAAATTATAGAGTTTGAAGGAGGAGAAAAGATAGGGATATTAATTTCAGCTCAAGTGTCATGTAAAGATCACCCTAATTTTTTTTAAATGGGATTACTTTAATTTGTCTATATAAATCGATTCCTTAAAATATTCCATGTAAAAAGTTATAAAGATAAACTAGCAAAAAATTGAATAGTTTACGAGATATTTTAAGTTGACATAATTTTACATAAACTATAAAATATCTCGTAAAGTATTTATATTTCGATTAACTTATCTTAATACTTTTGTGTACAATAATGAAATCAATCGGTGTAAAGAAACACATAATTATTCTTAAGTAAAAATATAAATTTGCAACAAGTAGCTACACATTCTTTTTAAGAACAATTACATGTGTCCTTTTACCTTCATATGACATTAGCGTCTTACACTTAAACACAAACTAATATCCCTATCCTTTCCCCTCTTTAAATTCTACAACTTTTATTTGAAATATTTTTGTCTACCTCAGCTTTCGAGATTTGAAATGTAATAGTCAAAGAAAAACCATCAAAAAAACTTGAAGTATTATGATATTATTGTTAATGATATTATTGTTAAAATGTTGTAGATGGTTGTACGCAGCGCAGGCAATTGGCGCTCGACAAATATTTCCGTGTTGGGATGAACCAGAATTCAAAGCAACTTTCAACCTTTCGATAAAACATCATAAACAATACATAACCTTATCGAATATAGATTGGAATGTAAATGAAACAAACACTGATTTTATGAATACCAAAATGCACATTAATATCACTTCTGAAATGTCTACCTACCAAATAGCATTCTGTTTACTATCAGATGAATGGTTCAAAATAATACTTTCTTTTTACTTGAACAGTGCAATTAATTTTCCTATGATAATTGTATGGAAAAGAAATTCTGATCTTCAAATATCATTCGCAGAAGAGATTATTGTTAAAACTATAAAGTCTTTTAAAAATGATTGGAAAAACTTAAATGAGATTTCGATAATCCAATTTGTCTTAATGCCAGGTTTTCAACATAATGCCATTGAAAAAAGGGGTCTTATTTTTGAAAGGTAATACAGATAAGTAAAATAAAACATAATAATAATAAATAAAATAGAAGATAATAATCTATTTTAAAAAAAGTAATTATTTTTTATTTTATAATTAGAAATTTTTAGAAGAGAAAAAGTATATACATTTTATACATATTTTCATAATGAGAATAATATTACTAAATGATAACATAAAACATACTTTATTATAATAAATTATATTATAACATATTATATTATAATATAACGTACATGTATATAAAGTTAATAATTTTATATAAGAATGACATATTTTTTTTTATTCGAATAACATTAAATTATGGTTCCAAATATAATTTTTAATTTTAATTTTGTTTTTTTCATTTATATATTGTAATATCTATTTAAAATGAAACAATAAAATTTAAAAATTGTCTCAAGATCTGTTGCAAAAATTTATGACGTTCTACATTCTAAATAATTATTAAAAAGATAATAAGAAAATATATTTAATCAATAATACTTCAATAATATTAGAAATGTTCATGACATAAATGTGAACTCTGTTTGCAATTAGTTTTGTTATTTTGAAAAAGAAAATATTTTACGAGGCATTTTACCAAAAATAAAATATTTTGTAAAATATATTAAGCTGCCATATTAAAAATAAAAGATGAAAGTAAATTATTTATTTATTTCGACATTTATTTTTACAATATACACAGTAAACTTATAAAAATAAGATAAAAAATCATATGTTTTCTCTCATTTCAATAAACTAAATGGCAAGTTTATGTACTAATTTTATTATATGTATATGTATGTATGTGCGTACGTTTAGTTTTCCTATTTAAAAATAATCATAAAATAATCATAAAAAAATAATTATAAAAAATAAATTTCTTCTCTACATGATTTTCAAAACAAAAATCTGTTCGACAATACATTTTCGCGCATCTTATTCGCGTATCTTATTATTAGTTTCACTACATATATTTCATGTATAATGCATATTATAGAAATAAAATCATATTATATATTTGAAATAAAGATATTTTATTTAATTTTATAATAAATAATTTTTAGGGAAACAGCTATTATGTATGACAAAGAAGTAGATTCTTTTGCGCACAAAATTGAAGTGGCATGTCTAATAGCATGCCAAGTGGCATATCAATGGTTTGGTATTACGGTCAGTCCATCCTGGTGGTCATACCATTGGTTGAATCAGGGTCTTGCTACGTTGCTTGGAATAGAAGTTCTTCATAAGGTTCCTTTTTATATGTTTATGTAATATTATTTCGCTTATATGGAATTGAACATAAAATGCTTGTTCCCAAAAAATTTAACATTTTATTATACAATAAAATAAAATTTATTATAAAATATTATAGTATAAATAATTAATCATCTAAATAATTTATATTTTTTAAAACACTTAAAATATACAAAATAATTTAATTAATATAATTATATATACACTTTTAAACAAAATAATATAACATACAAACAATGTATTTCTTTGATCAAAAATTCTTTGATTCGATTACATTAAGCTTTTTGTTATTAGAATTTTGTGGATATTCCGTCGGATCTATTTGTAGTACAGATGCAACAAGAATCTCTCCGTTTAGATGATTATTCTATTATGGAACCTCTTGTATCAGAGATTAATAAGCCCACTGAAATTAATTCACTTTTTTCTTTTTCTTATTATATCAAAGGTAAGATTAAATAAATAATAAACGATTGTCCATAAAATCTTGAAAATAAATGTCATGAAACAATAAGAAAATTAAAACAAATTTGCTTTCTCACAAATTACTTACATACTAATTTTTTTACAACAAAGAAATATAAAATTATAACAAAAAAAGTACAATGCAAAACTATACTTATTGCACAGAAAAAAGACATAAGAAAAGAGATTATTTAAGATTTATTTATTTAATATAAACCTATATTACTTGGTACACAAAAATCAGATATGCTTCTGGCAAATATAGATGGATTCTGAAATAAATTTAATATAAACATACACACATGTATTTTATAATATGTTTGTTTTCGTTGTAGCACCTGCTATATTGCGTATGTTGCAATATGTTCTCAGTGATGAAATATTTAAGAAAGGCATTGAGAAATTTTATAAAACACAGTAAGTAGTGTAATAATTATACATATATTATAGAAATAAAAACATGAATAAATGAGTCTTTAGTAATACAGTAAGAGCAAAACAAAATACAGAATGCAAAAGTGAATTTTAAAAAATTTAATTATCTATATAGCACTACTTTTTTATATTTAATATTATCTTCAATAAGTCAAATTAAATAATTGTTTTTTCTGACTTTTAAAAATATTTAACAATTCTTTTATGTGTGAGGCAAGCCATTAATTAGTTTTAGACATTACAAAATGGGATTCATAAAATTATTTTAAATTTCTACATTTTATAATACATTTATATAATTGTATTACCAAACATTCGGGCCGCTGTATTTGATGATTATATTTCTGATTTCTTTAATTTGTTTTCTACAACTTTTTATGTCCATTTGAAAAAAGAGTTCTTTTGAAATTGAAAATTCTTTGACTATTTGATCATTTAATAAAAATGATTTCTCTCATAATTTCAATGATTTTCATTATTATATTCCAATGTGATAATTAATTTTAAATTATTATAAATTAACGTGTTTTGATTTCCATATGTTATTGGTTATTCAGCTACACTTCTCGTTCATATTTTGATATATTTTATAAGCTCGACAACGTCGATCAAGGATAAATCTGAATAAAGAATTATATAAAAGTAGTATAATATAGTATAAAACATGTTTCGTATAGAAGTAGAAAGTAGAATAGTATAAAGCTCATTAATATATATATTATTTAAATAATAAATCTATATATTTTTCTAAATTAGAAGAAATCTATTTTTATTGCAGTCAGCAAAATATATAAAATATTAAATTTAGTATGTTTAGATCTGCAACGCTCGATAATTTTTACAATGATATGCAAATTGTCTATGATAGAGAAAAAAAATCCTATATGCAGGATTTTATTATAAAAGATATGATGGATGCTTGGATAAAACAAAAACATTATCCTATACTGAAAGTTATAGTAGAGTATAATTCTTATTTAATAATAAAAATAGAAAATTATAAGAGTTTAGATAAGAAATATAATTGGTGGATACCGATAACAATAACTAAACAGACAAAATTTAATTTTAAAATATCCACGATTTGGTATCCAGATGAAATACCATGGTTCAAAGACACACCATCTGAAATCAACCCTCATACTCCCTATTTTTATCGACATATTTCTATCCAACAGGATAAGTGGTATATAATTAATTTACAACAAATTGGTAAATACAAATTGGCAATTTTATAAGAATTAAATGTTTATTAGAAATAGTTAATCTTACTCTTTTTAATGTTTTAAATATATATATTTATATTTATTATTTATACAAATTCAGAAGGTTTTAAATATTAAATAAACATTATTATGCGCAATAACAGAAAGCAAAATCAATCTTAATTAATTGTTTTAATTATTTTAATTATTAAAATTAGAGTATTAAAATTAGAATATTTTACATTTTAAATTAAAATGTGTTAATTGGTTTTATTTTATTTAATACGCAAAATCTCTCAACGTGCCATTATAACTATACAAAATTCTATTATGTATACTATACTTTATATAGGCAATATATATCTTATTTAAAATCTAGTTTTGTTAGTTCGTCAGTTTAAGCTTTGTGTTGCTATATTTTACTTAAAAAAAAGAGGTTCTGTGCTATTAAAATAATCATTTAGAAATAAACTATTAAGCTGAAATTTTATAATAATAATAATAATATGTCGATATATGAAGAGGTCAACTCAATTCTCCCATGTTTAAAACGTGAAAACTAAAATCTACTATATCATATGGACATGTTTGTGTGTGTGTGTGTGTTCTGTATGTATACTATATATATATATATATATATATATATATATATATATATTTATTTATTTATTTATTTATTTATTCACATTTATACATTTTTTTAAATAAGAAATATCTAAAATTTTAAAATATCATAATTATTAATTGAAAATCTGTTTTGTAAATAAATGTTTTAATATGTAATAAATGTATTAATATGTGTACAAACACATATTAAATTATTAAGCTGAAATTTTATAATAATAATAATAAGCCGATACATGAAAAGGTCAGCACAATTCTCCTATGTTTAAAAACGTAAAAAATAAAATCTAATATGTCATATGGATATAAGTGTGTGTGTGGTGTGTGTGTGTGTGTGTGTGTGTGTGTGTGTGTGTGTGTGTGTTCCGTATATATATATATATATATATATATATATATATATTTATTTATTTATTTGTATTTATTTATTTATTCATATTTATATATTTTTTTATTTAGTAAAAAATATATAAAATTTTAAAATATCATAATCATTGAATACTTTGTAGATAAATGTTTTATTAATATGTATAAGTACATATCTTTGTATCATACATTCAAAGATAATAATTTTGACAAGTTTTAATATTACTTTATTTTTTATATACAAAATTATACAATATATACAAAATTATAAATATTTCTAAGCCTTATAATTATGTAAAGAACGAAATGGGACACAGAAACTTTTATTAACATTTAGCAAAAATAATATAATATGTAAATAAAGGGAATATGTTACAAATATAATGTTACATGTGACAAAGTTTCTATAAAATTAGTCATTTGTTATATAGAATCAAAATTTATATAACATTTATCTTAAATATTTTACACAGATTTTACTTTATAGAAATAATTAATTATTCCTGATTTTAGTAGAATAATGTTATATTAAATAATATAAGAAAAGGAATATAAAATTTGGAAATGTTTTAATAAATTTAATGAAGAAAAGTGTTATATTAATAGACGAGAACTTTTTTTATATGCAACAGGATATTATCGTGTTAATTACAACCTCAAGAATTGGCAAAATATTGCGAAATATCTGAATTCTGCGGAATATACGAATATACATGTTCTTAATCGTGCTCAAATTATCGATGATGCATATCATTTCGCGATGAGAGGCACAGTCAACTTTTCTATATTCTTGAATCTCACGGAATATCTATCGCGAGAGACAGATTATGTCGCATGGTATCCTATGTTTAAGATTCTCGAAGATATATCAAGAATCTTTCCATTTCCAGATAAAATATTTAATATTTTCAAGGTAGACTATTATAGATGCTTCGTGTAAAATAATTTAAAAAGATTGAAAAATTGTATAATATTCTATCCACTTTCTATTAAAGTGAAAAGGTTTTATTAGTATAATACTAATTTACAATTTTTTTATATATAACTAGTAAAACTTATAATACTGTATAATATTTATAGTATTATATTTGTATTTAGATTCTATTTATAATATTATATTTTTATTATTGCTAGACGAAAATCTTGAACAGTTTGAATGGACTTCTTCAAAACATCGATTATGATAAAAAACCTAACGAAAAATCTGACGATTTAATTGACTGCTTAAGGCAGGAAGCTAGTAAATGGGCATGTATTCTCGGTGAACCAAATTGCGTGAAAGCAGCCGAAACTAAATTGCACCAACATCTCATAAATCCTAAAACGAACAAGTAATTTTTCTTACAATTTCAATCTTCCTAATTAAATTTTTCCTTCTGATATATTAATAAATAATAAATCCTTTTTAAAACTATAAACTAAATTCTTCTAACAGATTTTTAACTTTCTTTTTAATATCACAGACTTTTGCCGTGGTGGAGACATTGGACGTTCTGTAATGGTTTAATGATAGCGAACGATAGTATTTGGTTCGAAGCATGGAAAATACATTCTTCTAATCCTAATTCAATAACTTCAAAATTCCTTGCTTGTTCCGATAATTCTGCTATTATTATCAAATATACAGAAATGTTATTCAATGATTTTAATACAAAAATGAGAGGTAACTTTTTAAATGATATTCTTTATATTATTGCGAAACGTGCAAACAATAATGAAACGCTTGACACTATATTAAAGAATTTAAAGGAAATACCCAGGTAATATGTGTGATACTTTTATAAATTCTATTCATAATAGTATCTTTATATGTTTCATATAAAAATTGTTATATACATTAATAATTTTTATTTTTTATCTATAGAGAATATATTGTTGCAATATTAATTAATATTATTAATCATGTGTATTCTGAGGTACAACTTAATCAGGTAAATTTAGTAAATTTGAATATTATATATAAATTATCGATACTTTGTAATATACGTGAACTGATTTACAAACTAATTGTTAAATCTATTTATAAATATTGCAAAAATTTTAATTAAATAACTCTCTTGTACTGTTTATACTGAAAATGCAAAATTAAATATTATCTGATTTAAAGATAACGCACGATTAAATCATTAACCATTAAAAATAAAATATTAAATATATAAATATATAAAATAAATATTTAATATATAAATATGTTTTAGATAAAAATGTTTGTAATTATGTTTAACGAAAAAATAAATATTGGGCATATTTTGGAACAACAATCACTTTTTAATCAATTTAATAAAATATTAAAGGTAAATTCTTTTAAATCGCAAATATCTTTATTCAGCATTATAATGCATTATAATTATTGCATTATATTCTTTTGAAGAAAATAATTTATTATTTATTAATGTATTTATTAATCAGTATGTAGTTATTTTACGTTGATTGGTTTTAGGTAACAAAAATTGACGAATTAATTTCCTATCTTCTGAAAAAGGTACAACTGATTTATAAACTAATTGTTAAAACTATTTATAAATATTGCAAAAATCTTAATTATATAGTATAACTATCTTGTAATATTTATATTGGAAATGCAAAGTTACATATTATCCGATTTAAAGATACGATTAAATCATTAAGCATTAAAAATAAAATATTAAAATTTGTTTTAGATAAAAATGTGTTGTATAAATATTGTTAATGAAGAAATAACTAGTGGGCATATTTTAGACCAACAATTTTTTGATAAATTTATTGAAATATTAAAGGTAAATTCTTTTAGGTCGCAAATATCTTTATTCAGCATTATAATGCATAATAATTATTGCATTATATTCTTTTTAACAAAAGAATTTATTACTTATTAATTACTTATTTATTACTTATTAATGTGTTTATTAATTAGTACATAATTAAATTAATGTTGATTGGTTTTAGGTAACACAAACTGTCGAATTAATTCCCTTTCTGAAACAGATACAATCGATAATAAGTAACATGTATAATAAATTAATTACATATTCATTAATCATTGACAAAATAGAAATACGTAGGTCTGAAATCTCAAGACACTCGAATCATTTTCAGAAAATTATGTAAGAATATAAAGTCTGAATTTATTTTATATTTATTTTATTATTAATATTTATTACAGTATTTTTATTTTTAATTTTTTATAAATAAATATACTGTATTCAAAATGTATAAAAATGTATAAAAATACTGTATAAAAATATTGTATAAAAATACTGTGTTCAAAATAAAGTATATTCGCAGGTTCTTTTAAATAGCATTTAAATTTAAAATTTACCATAAAAACTGCTCGAGAAAAAACTATCAACAAATCATTACTCCGCTTGAGAAAAGATTTGAAATTTTGATCTTATATTTATATATATATATATATATATATATATATATATATATATATATAAGCAGTATATACAGGATGATTAAAAATAACCTATTGTCCTTGAAATGACATATTCTTGAATCAATTCTAAGACGATTTTTCTGTTGTCTTTCGTCCGAAACTTAGTTTAAGAGAAGGATTTAAGAGAAAAAACTATAATAGTATTAATTAATAATATATAGAAAGAAAATATAAAATAGCTTGCAAGATCAGTTGATCTTTCTTCTATAAACTTTCTTCTATGAACTTTTTTGAAAAATATTTAAAAAGTAAAATAATTATATTTTAAAACTGAATCTTTCTTGCAATATCTGTATATCATCTTTCAAATCTCACTTTCCGCAATCTATTATAGGTTTTTGATTTGCGCATGCGTTATATAGCTATCTTCGGCTGTGTTCCAAAATTCACTGCCAGTACTGAAAGTCTATAGTGTACGTCACGTAAACTATAGATTTTCAGTACTGGCAGTGAATTTTGGAACGCAGCCTTCATATGAGGTAACAGCTGGTTGTAGTTTGTCGCAGAAAGAGGTTAATAGACGTCACCATACAGAGGCAGATCATAAAATAGCCACGATCAAAACTAAAATTTTAAGTTGAAAAAGGTTACGTCCGTAAGAACGAAATTGATGCAGCCGCTGCGTTTGTTATATTCGTGACGATAAACGTCCATGTAATAATTTCGCGACGTGTTTTTATAAAAGTCGCGTGGCTTGTCATTTGACAGGTGCGATCAGCTGTGATTCTGCATTGCAATATTTTATATTTGGATTTCTTAAATTAAAATAATATGTGAAAAAATGCCATAGCTAGAAAACCTGATTACAAATAAATTTGTTTTCTTGGAAATTTTATAATTCCATATCTATCTATCCCATTTCCTTTGTGAGACATAAGTAAATGAGCAAAGGTGTATGATTTCAATAATTTCAATCATGTGTAAAATAAAATGTCCTGATATTTTTAAATTAATTTTATTAATGTTTTTTTATTTGCCTGATATAATGAAAATTGGGGGGGGAAAATGGGTCATTAAACATTAAAATAATATAACAATACTTATATATATTCTTACCTATCTTTATATCTTTAGCCTTTAATAAGTATAATTTGTTTGAATGCATATATTTTTAATTTTAATTTCTACATGGCATTAACAATGTCAAGTTAATATCTAAATATTAAAATTTTGTGTAATAAATTTAATTTATACACAGATTTATTTTATATAATTTTCAGGCAAGTCTATATGTCTATCAGAATATATGGTATTATTTCAAATTATTGGACTATTTTATTGAATAGAGATGGTATAAGTCAAAATATATTTATTATTATGAAAAGACAGAAGAAAGATTTCTGATACTGCTTTTTGACTTAAAGCAGATCTCTTATTCTTTAATGACAGCAGTTCATGAAAATATGATAGATGTCTTGTACTGCCAAACACAATGTTTAAATTGGAATCTTATATAACACCAGTAATTCTCAGTTATGTAGAGAAATATGTAAAAAATTTTAAACCAGAACAATCACAGGTAAACATAAGAGTTTTTTGTATCTACCCAGGTAGCAAGATGACGTCTTTAGATGTCATCTTGCTACCTGGATATATTTATTTGTGATAAAGTGTTTTGTTTTATAAAATATTAAATGTTTCTGAATTTTCTAAAAATTTATATTTTATATTTCTTATTTATAATGTCAACAGTTTAGAAGAAAAAGGAATGTAAATATATATACAAAATATTTATACATCTCCTTTTCTCGCTATAAAATTATATTAGTTGCTCTCGTTCAAAAGTATTTATGATATATGGAATAAGTTAATAATATTTTTAAAAATTTATTATGAAATTAGTAATATTATTATGAAATTAGTAATTCTTCATTATTATAAAAAAAGAAACATCTTTTTCAGGTATCCTTGTGGGGTGGAGATGCATCATTTCAAAATTTAGATCTACGATTAGAGGTATTGGAGGAACAACTTAATCTTCCATTCGTCTTTGTTAGTGGCCATATACATGAATTGTTGATACATGTTCCTTGGGTAAAAATTACCTCTGAACCAATAGTTGTTACCATTAATACTATAGGTAAATAACAAATTTAACAATTCTATTTAACATATTCAAAATAACATATTATTACACTTTGAAGTGAATAATCATGTTATCTGTTTTACAGAATGCATTTTAAAATTGAAAGATGAAAATATCACAGAAGCTAACACAGCAGTATTACAAAAGAAAAGGGAGGTAATACAGTAAGTTCATTTTTCATAATCTAGTATTATCATGAAATTTTATTAATTTAATACTCATTTGATTGCTTAGCATTTAAAAATAGCAATATATATATATATATATATATATATATATATATATATATATAAAGTAAAGGATTCTTTGAATTTTTATTATAGAGAGGAAGCTCCACCTGGATATATAAAAAGTATAGTCACAAAAGTTATTAATAATATTACTATTCACTGCAACAATCTTATCTTAAAATATGTAGAAGAGGATATTGTGCTTAGTGTAAATGTTAAATTATTAAGTATGCAAACTGTTGATAATAAATGGGAGCCAGCATTCACTGGTAGGTATTTTTATAATAATAACAGAACAAAAATTGTTCTTTGTTATATTAATATAAATTAATTTTTAATATAAATTAAAGATACATTAACATATATAAAACATTAACACTTATAGATGTCAATACTCAGGAAGTGATGCTTAGAAAAATTATTACTATTCAGGATTTGACATTATGCTTAGATAAAATGGATGCATCAGGAAAGATAGAGATATATCAGGTATTTATTTTGAGATATATTTTGCAAATTTTTTTTAAGTTTGTAGGAAAAATATATTGTAAAACAATTTATAAAAAAGCTAATGTGGATAATAAATTAACATAGGATCCCGTTTTATATCGATGTTCAATGACAATCCGCATGATTATAAACTACCACAGCAATACTTCAAAGAGGGCATCCATCACGAGACTTGATCTTCATTGCGAAAAAATGGAGTTTAGTATGACTGAACAACAAGTACCGATGCTCCTAAGACTGGCAGCCTTAATAATGGCATTACAAACGAAACAATTTCCACTAAGCAAGGAAAAATCTTCTGTTGCTGTCGATGAGAGAGAGGATGTTATACAAGGTTCGAGATTACATTTATATTTCATTGTCATTGTTTGAAATATCTTTTTTCATGTTACATATATATATATATATATATATATATATATATATATAATATATATATATATATATATATATATATATATATATATATACAGGATAAATTTTATTTCGTGTATCAATCTTTTTATCATGCAGGAGA